TGCATGTCCTTATGGACACTGAGCTTGTGAAGGGTATGCTGTCACCAAGTGCTGGCTGCTGGACAGAGCCGGTACTGCCCAGCCAGGTTCTTCTCTCTGGGTGCAGGAGAAGGAACCCCAGTCTCGGAGACAAGCCCTCTTGAACTGGAAGGTCCCCAAATGAGGGATCATTGAAACTCCTTGCAGGGACCATAAGAGCCCAGAGGTTGGCAAACTAGCCCGTGCCCCAGCAAGCAGAATGGCAAATAGACCTAACACAGCCACACACCTCTAATATGTGCGTGTCCCATGTCCCATGCGCACCTTCCTTCCCCGTGGGGCCACACCACCCAACCTTTGATCAGTCTGTACCCTGCCTGGAAGTCCTTCCCTCTGTCTCTTCCTGTTAAAGTCCGTTCCACCCTGTGCCCCACTCTCCCTGCTCTCTGCCCTGCAGGGGGGTCAGCCCAATGTTCTGGGTGCTCTGGGCTCAAGATCTTGTCTCCCGACCTGGCTACAGATGCCCCAGTTTAATGGCCCAGGCCGGGCTCAGGTGGACCCTCAATGGAGGGTGGCAACCCACCCCAGGCGGTGGCTGGGCAGCCCAGGAAGCTCAGGGTCACCTGCCAGGGCCTTTGGACAGAGGCTCCGGGCACCCCAGAGTGAGGGCCTGGGGTTCCAGCAACACAGGGCTCCTGGTGGCCTAGGCAAGCAGAGGGGCTTCCCGGGCACCTCGGTCTGGTCTGGCTCTTTGGGGAGCGGAGGGGCCGGCCCCTCCCAGAGGGGAGCACAGGATATGGGGCCACCAGCCCGGGCTCTCCGTGTGTCCGGCCTGGCCCCAGCATCCTGCCAGGGGAGGATGGGAGTTCTGGAAGCTTCCCCTGTCCTGGGACGAGAACCTCCCTCCTACTTCATGGTACCTCAGAGGTTGGGAGGGGTGGGGTGGGGAAGGCGTCTTTTTTCTCAAACGGCACAGGCCCTGGACCTGCCCAGATGGGAGCCGGAAGGGCACCCAGGTTGAGGGGACCACCTCAGCAAAGGCCTGGCTAGGCGGCTCATTTGCATGCAGGGGCCACCAAGGCGGGAGCCGCCGCTGCTGCCACCGCCAAGCGGATTTGAGCAGAAGCTCCGTTTTCCTTCTGTTCTTGTCTCTCTCTCAAGGTCAGAGCCCAAGCAGGGACAGGAACAAAGGCGGCTCGTCCCCCATTCAACCTCCCTGTGCCCGCCGGCGTCTCTGAGAGGCAGGGGCCGTGGAGGGGAGGGCAGGGCAGGGCGGCCTGAGGCCCAGCCCTGGGCAAGGCTGCATCAGGGAGCCCCTGCCCCGCCAGGGGGCTGCTGTGAGTGCCCATGAAGCCCTGTCCCCTCCAGGGCTGGGGGCCATTCCAGCCTCCATGCTTAGGCCGCAGGGGCTTGCTGAGGCCACAGGGTCACTCTGGAATAAGCTTCCTTTGGAGTCAAGGGTCGGAGGTCAGGCTCACTCTGGGCACAGGGGTTGCTCAGGGTCAGGGGTTATCGAGAGTCGGCTGTCAGCCCCAGGCCCGGACCTAGGGCAGGGTCTTGGTGGGGGTCTTCCCCGGACTCAGGGAGGGTCTTTCTTGTGTGGCCCCGGCCTGCGCCCAGCACCCGGGCCGTCTCCCACTGCCCACATGCACCTCGGCAGCCCGCGGGGCGAGGCTGTGGGGCTCAGGATCAGGTCCCCAGCCCCTCAGCCTTCAAAGGCCGCCTCGCCGTGGAGAGAGCTAAAAATATGCGGGGAGAAATTTCTCATTACAGAATAAATTGGACCAAATCCACTGCCTGATCCGGCTCGAACTGTTTTCAGAAGCCCCATCTCGACCAGGCGGGGACCAGACACTAGGGGGTCACGGGGTGGGGGACACGGGGGCTTCTGGGCAGGTTGCTCCGCTCCTGGTGGGAGCCCCAACCCACCACCCGCATCCCTCTCCCACCTGTCAAGAGGGACCCAGCCCTGCGGTCAAGCAGGGTTTCCCCTGGGCTTTAGGTCCTTGTCCTTGAAAATAAAAATGTGTCCCTTTCTCTTGCTGGTAAGTTAAAATGTCCATCTCCCTGTGCACCAGGCCCTTGAAACCTCAGCTTGGACCCCAAGATCGTGGCAACCCCCATGGTCTGGCCAGTAAGGGACCGACAACACCCCTCCCTCACCTTCCTGCCTCCCTCCGACACCCCGGCTCCAAGCGCTGACACAGATATGAGCTCCAGTGTCCAGTCACCAGCCGTGTCCACAACTCCCCACCCGTACGGTGCCACGCAGGCACCGCCAGCTCTGCCAGTGACCGAGGTAGAGGATTTCACGTTTTATGGTGATTTAATGAAGTATATGTAAGTAACCACACATGGCCTCCTATCCACAGCAAAGCTCTCGGTGTCTCAGGGCCTTGCTTGCCCAGGACATGGACATCGGAGGCCCAGGGCCCCTATGGAAGAGGAAACAGGGCAAGGTTCTGACTTCGGTGACCCCAGGGAGGGACACAGCATCCTCGAGTGCGGTCCCCTGGGTGAGCATGGTGCAGTGCATGGGCCGTGTCTGTGGGACGCCCTGGTGCTGCGGCCAGAGCCCCGTCCCCAACTCCCCAGGAAACACTGGCAGATGGCTGTCCACACCAGCCGAGCTCCAGCCGCCCCCTTAGGGACCCCAGTGTGTCTAGCCTGCGGGGCTGCTGCACAGCGTCCACCTGTCCTCACTTCCCAGATGGAGAAGCTGGAGCCCCACAGCCAGTCCGCCAGGACCCCCTCCTGGACCCCCAGCTGCGGGTCTATTCGCTGTTTGTCCAGTGGCACGTGGTGGGGGCGCCCTATGTGTGTGTCCTGCAAGGCTGTGTCCATCCCATATGTGTGACCATTCACGTTGCGTGTCCTGTGTCTGCGTGGTTGGGTTTTGTGCCTGTGCATGTGGGTTTGAGTGCCTGAAGTGGAGCTGCCGGGAGCCCCCCTCCCGTGCTCCCAAGCACGCGCGCGCGCACGCACACACTTATGTGCACACATGTGGAGGGCCGGCTGGGACCCGGGGCCTTTCATCTCGCGCTGACAGGCCCCTCTCTGGCTTTTAGCCTCCAAGAACTCCCAGCTAATAGTGCATTAACCTTGGCGGGGGGGGCTGCCAATTACTCCCGCTAACAGTGGGGTGCGGGCGTGGTGGACCGGCCCTGACAGGCTGAGGGGGAAAGGAAGAGGCGGAGCCCCCTCTCCCTGCGGAGGGGGCCGGAGGCAGCCGGGCCAGGGGAGCAGCCTATTCCGGCTCCGGATGGCAGAGCGCGGGTCTCTCCTGACCTCATTAGAGTAATTAACGTGCCTTTTGAAGCTTGAGAAATCGCTCAGAGCTGTGGGAGGGGGCCGTGGATCACAGGGTGGGGGCCCGAGATGGTGTCTTCACGCCTGTGAAAAGCGTGTCCCAGTGGGTCGGACAGAGAGACAGAGACCGACCAAGAGACACAAGCCGTTGAGGGGCAGATGGAGAGACACGACCCAGAGGCAGAGACAGGCCCACAGGGACAGACGGGGAAACTGCAGCCAGAGCCCGAAGGCAAGGGTGCAGCCGGCCGGCCCCAGGCCCTCGCACAGCTCTCCCTGCCGTCTGGGGCCACCACCCTCACTTTGGGGGCTACTGCTAAGGACAGGCACGGGGCAGGCAGCCAGGGAGGACTTCCTAGAGGAAGCAGCAGCTGAGGCTGCAGCAGGCAGGGATGGGGGTTCTGGAGGGGAAATGTGAGGCGCTCAGGGGAGGCCACTGGGGTGAGGACAGTGCATCCTGACTAGAGCGGGGCCAGCCCTGGTGGTGGACAGGGACTCAGGCTGGAGCCTGCAGGGTCATGAGGTCCTGGGGGGCAGCAGGCCCTGCCCATCCCATGGTGGGTATGGGCAAGGTGGGGCTTGGGAGGAGGTGTGGGGAATGGGCCCCCGGTGGGACCTATTTCCCCAGCTGGCCCCGGTTTGGTCCCTGGGGAGAAACCTGGTGGGGGGGGGGGAGGGTCAGAGAAGGCCTAGTGGTGCGAGGTTGCCACCTAGCGGCTGTTCCGCCTTATGACAGGGTGGCGGTGGCCTGGCCAGCTGTCTAGGGGGAACTCTGGCCACCTTGGCTACCGGCCTCCCTAGGCCTCTCCAAGGCCAAACCCGCAGGGGGAGGGGGTGACAGGCCAGAGCTAGACTCTGCCCAGACCCAGCAGCCTGCAGGAAGAATATGCCCACAGGGAAACCAATCCGGCGCCTTGCCCAGAGTGGAGGCTCTGCTCTTGGACTCCACAGGAGGCAGATTGGGGGGGCTCAGGTTCTAGGGAACTCCAGCCCACTACACCACAGCTCTGGGCTCCTCTGGAAGCTCCCCCAACGGTGCCAGTGGAGTGATGAGGGATCCCCGAGGGTATGGCCTTTGAGCCCCAGGCTGAAGAGGCACAGAAGAGGGAGCCCCAGAGCAAGGGCTTTGACAGATGAGTAGGAGTTCTCTCTAGGCCCAGAGGTGCCGAGTGGCACAGCCTTGTCCCAGGAGGCTGGAGACAGATCCTCCTCCCTTCTTTGCCTACCATATGAGATTCCTCACCTGAAAACCCAGGTTGCTCACAGATGGGGAAACTGAGGCCAGCTTGAGCCTTGCTCTATCTACCCACACCAGCTGAGCCAGGACCCCTGGGTCTAGATGCAGCAGGGGGCCAACACCAGCTACAGAAACACTGCCACGTTTATTGTTCCCAGCCCAGTGGGAAGGCGTTCCCAGACAAGCCCCTAGGGCCCCCTGCCCATGGGGGACGGGGAGCGGCACAAGTCACAGTCTGGCAAGGGGGCCTCAGAGCCGTGGGCAGCGGCTGTTGGGGCCCCTCCGGCTTCCACCACCTGGAATGCTGTCCAGGCCGAGGTGGCATCAGGGAGGCCAGGCTGTGCTGTCCAGGCAGAGGATCAGGGAAGGCAGGCAGGCAAGCGGCGGCACAGGTTCCAGCAGAAGCGCTCAGGCTGGCACTCGGTGAGGCACTTTGGCCAGCAGGAGGACAGGCCAGGTGCACTGGGCACTGAGGTGGGTCCTGTCTCTTGTCTGTCCCCCAGGGCCACTGGAAACGCCACCTCCCCCCCCTCGGCATCTGGAAGGCAGGAAGGAAGGGATGAGAGGTGAGGTGTGGAGATGGCCCACCCCACTGGACAGAGGCAGCCAGGGCATACGCACCTCAAATGGGGCAGGCAGGGGTGCTCTGCCCACAGGAGGGGATAGCCCATTTGGACCCCTGCAGCCCACCAGGGTCTGCTTCCCCTGTCTGCCCACCCTGCCAAGCTGTTTGCCTCAAGGGAAGGGGCCTCCTAGCCAGGAGGTGGAAGAGGCCATGGAGAGGTTCCCAGGCTGGTGTCTGACCTTAGGGTACCCTACCTGTCCCTGGTCCTGCCACCCCCAGCAAATCGAGGTCCCCACAGCAGCCACACTGGAGCACACAGGTCTGTAACCCCCTGCTTAGGACCCTGCTGAGGCTGACAACCGCTTTGAGCCCAGGCTCTCCCCCATCCAGCCACACTGCTGTCTGGCCTGCTGTTCCTTCTACCTGGAACACCCTTCCAGGCGCTGGTCCCATTAACACCACAAGGAGACCCTCCGTAACGCTCCTCCTCTTGACAGGACCCCACAGTCAGTTCCCCACCTCTGACTTAGCTAGACCTTGACCATCAGGGTGGGGCCTGGAACACAAGCCCGTCACCCCAAACGCTGCAGCCTCTTCCCCATTTTAAAGAAACAGAAAATGGAGACAGAGAGGCTGAGCCTTGCCCAAGACAGTTGAAGCCCAGCCACCCGTCTGCTGCGATCACACTGATGACCCAGACCCTGCTGTTCCTGCAGCCCAGCCGCCCACCAAGACACCCCTGGGGGCAGGGGAGGGCTGTGCACCATCTCAGATTCCTGGTCTCAAAGACCGTCTCCTCATCGCTGTCCATCGAGGCCATCTCGGTGGGGTCCTCGGTGTTGGCCAGAAGGCCATACCTCCTCCGCTGCGGCTTCTTCAACCTGGAAGCAGGTCCGGGCACACTCAGCGGCTCCTCCCGTGCCCCCTGCCCCACCCTCCTTCCCCAGGACCCCAGGGCCCTGCTCCAAACCTCCCAGGTCTAGTTGTGTCTGTTTCTTTTTTTTTTTTTTTGAGACAGAGTCTGACTCTCTTGCCTGGGGCGAGTGCCATGGCGTCAGCCTAGCTCACAGCAACCTCAAACTCTTGGGCTCAAGCAATCCTACTGTCTCAACCTCCCGAGTAGCTGGGACCACAGGCACCCGCCACCATGCCCGGCTAATTTTTTCTACATATATTTTTAGCTGTCCAATTAATTTCTTTCCATTTTTTGGTAGAGACGGGGTCTCGCTCTTGCTCAGGCTGGTCTCGAACTCCTGAGCTCAGAATGATCCGCCCGCCTCGGCCTCCCAAAGTGCTAGGATTATAGGCGTGTCAGTTTCTTTTACATCAAAATTGCCACAACAATTACTAATTGCTCCGATGGCAGTGAGGTAGGTGGACCCTCTGCAGGTCCTCCCCTCGCCCCAAGCTGTGACCCCAGCAGGGAGGTGCTGACGTCACCCCACAGTACTGATGTACACACGGAGTCTGGGGGTTTGCAGGGTTTTCAGCATCAGCCGCGTGCAGGACCCGCTGGGGCCCAGCCGCGCCCACGAGGGTGCACGGGAGAGGGGAGCGCCGCACCAAGGGCCTCTTGAAAACCGCCTGGACTGCGCAGTGGCTCACGCCTGTAATCCTAGCACTCTGGGAGGCCGAGGTGGGCGGATTGTTTGAGCTCAGGAGTTCGAGACCAGCCTGAGTAACAGCGAGACCCCCGTCTCTACTAAAAATAGAAAGAAATTAATCGGCTAACTAAAAATATATAGAAAAAAATTAGCCGGGCATGGTGGCGCATGCCTGCAATCCCAGCTACTCCGGAGGCTGAGGCAGGAGGATCGCTTGAGCCCAGGAGTTTAAGGTTGCTGTGAGCTAGGCAAAAAAAAGAAAACTGCCTGGACTTTGCCAGAGTGGTGACAGCGAGGAACACGGTCGTCCCTGCGTGATAAAGGACCTTCCAGAGGGCGCCCGAAGACCCCAAAGTGGGGCGAGCAGTTAGCGGCCCAGGGATTCGGGCGGGTGACCAGGAAAGGCGGGCAGCCCGAGGAGTGAGGGGGGATGCTGGGCGACAAGGCCAGGGTCATGGGCGAGCAGAACGGCGGGCCCCGACGGTCGTGCAGGGCGGGGACGCGCAAACACGGGCAGGATCCCGGGGTTGGGGACGTGTCGGGGCGTCTGGGGGTTCCCGGGCCCCGCACGCTCTGGCCTTGGCTGTTCTGCAGGGGAAATGGGCAGCAGCGGCGCGAGCGGGACCACGCCCGGCCCAGGCGGGACCCGGACCCTGGCCCAGACCCGCCGGCCACCTCCGCACGGGCCCCGGGCGAGTTCCGTGACAGCCAGCACCGCCCGACCACGTGACGACGCCCACGCAGCGCCGGGCACGCCCACTCCGGAGGGGAGAGACGGGGCCCGAGGCCTGGCACGTGATGCACGAGCGCGCGCTGATTGGCCGCAGCTGGTAACGCACCTGAAGGCCCGGATGAGGAAGTAGAGCGCGGCCAGGCCGCACAGGCCCGTGAGCACGTAGAAGGAGCGCAGCAGCGCCGAGCCCGACGGCCCCGGGGGGCTCGCGTGCGTGCTGTTATGCGGCGCACCCGGCTGGCTCCCATTCGTCACGGCGGGCGGCGGCGGGGACACAGCCTCCCCAGGCCCGCGCACCAGCAGCAGCGCCGGCAGCACCAGCAGCAACAGCGCCCGGAGCGGCCGCTGCACCACGCGCGGCCCCATAGCCTGGCGGAAGCGGTGGTGGCGCCCCGCCCGTGCTCGGCTGTCACTCAGGCGTGCGGGGGCGGCCCCAGCCAATGGGGCGTGGGGGCGGGGCTTGGGCCCGGAACCGCCGCTGGTCCCGCCTCTGGCTGACGGTGCCCGACGCTACCCTTAGCGCCCCGCGGCCTGTCAGGCCTGTTTCTCCCGCCCCGCCCAGGCTTGTGACGCCGGAGTAGGGGACCCTCCCTTTCGGCAGAGCCCCGAGGGTGTCCCGCGGGGATCCCAGGTGCCCTCAGGCTCCCTGAGAAACTGGCCTGGTTCAGCCTGCACCTCCCTGGGGCCACGGTCCCGCCCAGGAGTATGCGGTGCCCCGGCCATGGCTCAGGGGCTGGTGTCCTGCCCCGCGCAGCGGGCTGGGCACAGCCCCCAGGCCGGCCAGTGGCGCAGGGGACAGCCGTGCGGAGGCTGCGACAGCCCGTCAGCAGCGCGTGCCCACTTGGTCACGGCACAATGAGGGGATCCTGTGGTCCTTGCCTGGGTCCAGCTTCTGCCCGGTGTGCGGATCGGGCCCGCCCTCAGCAGCCGCACCGGAAACCACAGACTCAGCTTTCCGGTGCACACATCGGCCCTTTATTAAACCCGCCTTTCCACGTCTTCCACCGTCTTGGACAAGGACGAGCCACCGTGCCAGCTGCCAGCGCCGCGGCCTGTCCTGTCCTCTGGGAATGGCCTGAAGTCCGGAGCCCGAACCTCACTGGCGAAACACCTACTGGAACGAAGGGGAGGGGTGAGGAGCGGACAGGGCCAGAGCCTGCAAGTGCCATCCTGGGCGGGGGTTCTCCCCTAGCCGGGTCTCTTGTAGGCGCGGGAATGCCGGTAGGCCCAGGCACTGCCGGGGACAGGGATGCGGCTGCATGCCACCCACCCGACAGCACTTACAGGAACAAGCCTCGAAGGCAGGCAACTGCATCTCTGGCTCTTTCCAGGTGAAGTCCTTCCTGGGACAGTGACCCCTTGAGGTCGTCGCTGTTCTTGGGCCACCCTTCCCTGTGTCCTGGCTGGGTCCCCTTCAACCTGCCAAAGCAAAGAAGCATTATTCCCGATGTTCCTGCTGGGGCTCGCAACTGCCCCCCATCCTCCCCAAAACTATCCACAGCTCCCACGAGGGTCTCGAGCTAGTTATGGGGCCATGACGTCAGAGGCACCGTCATGGGCCAGTGTGCCCGGGGTGGGCCTGCACCTTGAGATGCGGCCAGAGCCACATTCCCGTCGGCAGAGCCAGCTACCCACTCGGGATGGAGCTGCTTAGAGACCAGTGTGGGTTCTGGAAAAAACTAACAGTGGCAACAGACATCAGAGAAAGCTAGTTAGGTGCGTGACTTAAAGAGGTCTGCAAAAGACTGTCACTTGATGAGCGAAAAATCCAAAAGGCAGGGCGTTCGGTGGTCTCCAATCCTGCTCAATGGATGGCACCTATGAGGGAGGCGTGACTGTGCCCAAGGCCGCTCGCCTGGCCACAGGAGGGGAAGAGCAAACTTTAGTTCTAGTTTGATTTAAAAAAAAAAAAATTTAAAAAGGAAAAACAAAAAACAGTCAAAGGAACATTCCCCGGGTACATTACTTTCAAATGAGCTCTTGACAAGAGGGATTCGGACACGAGCGAAAGGAGTTACCTCGAATTACAGGGCTATTTCCACATATGAGCTAGCCAAGGGAGCAGCTTGCGTCTCAGAGGTTTCTGTTGGGCGCACAACACTTCTGTCCTCCGAGGGCTGCAGCTTCCATAGGCTAGCAGAGAACGCTCAGAACTCGTGAAGCAACAGCAGGACTAGCTAACGAGCTGGTCAGTCTGGTCGCCCAGGGACGCCATGTGCCGTCCACTCTCTGGCCTGCTGCTAGACTAAGGCTCTCCAGTCAGCGTCAGGTGCCCAAGTGTTCACTGTCCCTGCTACCAGTCCTGTCAAGCCCTGGGCTGCCCTGCTGAGCTGCGCTCCCGTCACCCACCTCGCTCACCTAAAGGGATGGTGCCGTCAGCTGTTCACAACGCCTGGCCAGCGTCAGTTTGCTCTGCCTTCCTCGGCTAGCTCTCCGCAGGCCTCAGGTAGGACTTGCAAACCTACTGCTCCTCAACTGCTCCTGCTCAGGTCTGACTGCGACAGCCCAGCAGGGAGTGTGTTGTGCAATGAAAGGGAAATTGTCAGAGCAAGGTTCATTTCACACGGTCTTTTAATCGGCTTCGTAAAGCCAAAGAAAACTGCATACAAGAATTCCTTAGCCACTGCAAATACAACATCAATGGAGTATGCATACGTCTTCCAGTAAAAAAGGACAATATAAATAAACATCTTCAAGAACCTCTCGGGGGACATCTGCATGTCTACTGCAGGGCACACACAGCGCAGATGGGCAGATGGGCTGGGGCTCCAGGGCAGCCTCTGCCGCTGCCCCGATGATGTCCTACCACGCTACACTCAGAAACGTTACACGGAGTTGGAAAAAAGCCACAGCTTGCTCAGCTTCCAACAGAGCAGATTCCGAGTCTGTTCAATCTCAGAAATGAATGGGGCACCCAACTTCATGGGGCCGACCCCAAAAGAGAAACAAAAAAGGCAACACAACCAAAAAAACCCAAAAAACCCACACAACCCCCGGCGATGTTTTTAAGAACTCATGGCTCGTAGTAACTAAAAGAAAAAAGTAAATCTGAAGTGCTTTTCAAACGCTTTGAAAACCCTTAAAAATGGACAGCGCTTCCTTAAAAAAAAAGTCTAACAATGAGGCCATCTCAGGGGTCAGAGCAGTCAGGCTGGGTTTGACAAGATCAGAGCTGAAATGACTACAAAAGTGGGAATACAAGGAGGTGTGTTCACTACACATTAACGATTCAGCGAAGCTCCCAAAATCTTTAAATATACAGCCATTGGAAGGACGATCTTGAGCAGGAAGGATTTTTACTCGTTGTGTGTAGCTGAGGACAAGAAGCAGGTACAGTGTAAAGGCACTGAAGCAGCAACAGACGCAGCATTCCTCTCCCGAGTGCAGACTGGGGGCGCGGCCCTGCCGCCTCGGGAGCAGCCAACCCCCCCCACAGCCGAGGGCGGCCGGCCGGGCCGCACATGCACCTATGCTGGGCTGCTCGGCAGGTCCCTGCTCTCCCTTCCTTTCTGGTCAGTTTACTTGGCCCTCATGGTCTGCGCTGGAAATGGCTCTGAGAGGACAGACTTGTTCCTTATGGGCAAGCACAGTGACAGTCTGAGTGTCCAGCCTAAGTTGCTCGCAGAGGGCGCCAAGGTGCACTGAGCTCCCGCAGCAGGCCACGGCAGCGTGGCGCCCTCGGAGCGTGACTTACCGTAACTGTCGTAGCTGTCTCTGTAGGACCCACCAGAGCTCCGGTCACCGTAGCCACTGCCCTGACTCCGGCTGCAGAAGGATACACACAGGTGGGTGCTGAGAGCACCGATTTACCTTACCAACTGCCTACGGCAGGCTAAGCTGCCACCCTCACGCCAGCGATCTGTCACGGGGATGTGACAAGAATGGCTGCAGAGCAGATGCTGGGAAATCATCAAAAATCGCCACCCATGGTGCCCCACCCAGCCCTCCCCCTGCCCTGTGGCTGTCCTCCTGAAAGGCCCAGCTCCTGCCTGCCTGGGCCACCTCCTCACCTCTGCTCCATGCTCAGCCAACCTCATCTCACCTGGGAGGAGTCCTCCCGAGGACCGTGGATAGGACCTGGCCACCTCCCAGCCACCCTTATGCACAGGCTGGGTATCCACCTCCCCTCACCTGCTGTAGTAGTCTCTGGAACCTCCGTAGCCCCCACTCCTGGACTCGAACCGGCCGCCCCCGTAGCCTCGGTCCCCTCCTCCTCCTCGCAGGGCCAGAAAGGAGAAATGAGTAACACCTCCAGCCAGCAGTGCCTCCACTGCATCCCCGAGGGCCACCCTTGTGGCACTCACCTCTGGAGAACCCACGGCCCCGTCCTCGGCCCCCGCGGAAGAAGCCCCGGCCCCCGGCAGAGCCGCCTCGGTAACCACGGGATCGGTTGTCAGATGACTTGCCTGCCTGGTCAACTCGGATCTGTCGCCCGTCTACAGACTGGAGATCGGAGGTTGGCACAGGTTAGTCTCTGCACCACCCCATCCCTGGGGAGGGGGAGCTCACACTCTGCAACACCAGACCCTCACCTTCCCATTCATGGCCATCATGGCATCCTTGGCGTCATCAATGTTCTCAAAGGTGACAAACCCAAAACCCCGAGATCGCTGGGTCTCTCTGTCTTTCACGACCACCACTGTTCAGAGCAGAGAGGTCTGCGGTCAGCACCCCGCAGTCCCCACAGGCAGAAACGAGGACAGGCCATCCCCATTCAGCCACCAGCCCCAGCACGAGCCTCACCTTCGGCGATCTGTCCGTATTTTGAGAAGACCTGCTCGAGTGACTGCTCATTGGTGTCAAAACTCAGCCCTCCAACGAAAAGCTTGCCTTCATCTGATGCCATGGTGGCCTGTGGCACACAGCATTTGAATCCTTAATAAGCTTCACCTCTCACCACTTTCCCTATTTCATGCAAGTGACATATGCTATTGGGGGGAAATTTTGGAAAAGCACTTCTGTTTCATTATCCTAAACTCAGAGCTAGGAAGTCTTACTTTAAACAAAATGGTTAATCACCCTGGACTGCTGGTCCCCAACTGGCCCAGTTCTACCCACCTCCCAGACTGAGGGCTCCCTGGGGGCAGGGCCACACAAGGCCACGGTCCTCGGTGTTGCTGGGGCCATACAGGGCCTCCTGTGTCTCCCCCACAGCCTCTGCCTGGGCTGAACTGGTCCTCCCAGTTGGCCTGAGCACTCTGGCAGGACTGCACCCAGTTTCTCCCCCCTCCCACACGGGGAGAACTCCTGTTCTAACCACCTGCTGTCTACTGGCTGCTGAACTGTAAAGTGCTTTTGTTCACTGTAAAATGCCTCCTGAGAGTGACTGGGGGACCGGGCGCAGGGACTGGCTGTCAGGGAGGCCACCCAGGCCTGCAGGGTAGCTTTGGCAAGACACCGACCTTATAAACAGGACCGGGCTGTGAGGGGGAGTGATGGCCCGGAAGCGGTGATGTTGGACGAGGGGACAGGTATTTGAGGGAACTACTCCAGGAGCGGGGCGGCCAGCTGACACTCAAAGCATTTATTCGCAGGGAACGACCCCACCAAGGGCTCCAAGAGCAAAGGCCAGGACGCGATTAGGAATCCGCGCGCTGGCGACTGTGCCAACTCAGGCCCAACTGCGGGCGTAAACAGTGACATGGCAACGTGAGAAACACGAGAACTGTGCGTGCTCGGCCGGGATTTAAGAGGGAGTCCTGGCCCTTGTTCAATCCAATGGGAAGACGGAGACACTGAGGCTCGGGAAGCATAAGGCACTGAGCACCGACACTTCCAGCCCCACGGTCGGGAAACGGGCCCTGGAAACGGGGCACACCACGTGGCCCCGCCCCCGCAGCGCGCGCATGCGCCCAGCGGGCGTCCTGCGCCACTCCATCCGGGCACTCGGCGGTCCCGCCATTTCGCTGGGCGCAGCTTGGAGCTCGCGGCCGCCATTTTGCGGCAGCGCCCCGCTTGCCGGCGGCCCGGGACTGCGGGGGGATGCCCTCCGGCCACTGCTGGGCCCAGTCTCCCGCTGCCCCACGCCGCCGGCGGGGCGGACTCCACCCAGGGCCCGCCCCGGCACCGCCCCCTCCCAGGGGCGTGCCGCCGCGGCCCCGCCTCGTCTGGCCGCCACAGGTCGCCCGCCGCCCCGGGCTCCTCAGAGCCGGTGCCGCCAGGGCCCTCACCACTGAGCCGGGCAGGTCCCTGACGCAGGCGGGAACACGGCACAGCACAACGACCCGAGCCTTCTAACGCGCGAGTGAGGGGGGGGCGCCCCGGAGCCCAGCCTTATATATGCTGCCTTGTGGCCCCGCCCCCTAGCCCGACCCCTGAGGCGCGCAGACCAATCAGAGGTCCCGGAGCCCAGGGCCGCGCCTGATATTCATGAGCTGGGGGCCGGGCCTGTCCTGGCTCCGCCTTCTCCCAGGCGCTGGCGCCGGGTGCCGCGATTGGCCGGGACGTTCCCAGTCTGCAATACCCCACTCTCGTGCGCGGGGGCGTGGCCTGCGCTCAGTGGGGCGTGGCTGACCCACTTCCGCGTGCCCGCCCTCTTGCTGCGGCGTGGAACAAAGGGGCCTGTGGCCTCGTGGGGACCCCTGGATGTGGCTCGAACCCCTACTTTTCCTGTGCTCCAGCAATGCCAACATGTCGACGTCGCCCAGATACCCATACCGCCCTGAGCCCTGGCTCTCAGACACTCCAACTTCATCAGAGCCCCGACATCCGTCCTGATACACTTGCCAGCATAACTGAAATCCCACTAACCCCAGCACCCCAACACTCCACGTCGTCAGTCCCAGTGCCCACCCAAACCCCAACACAGAAGATTCCATTTATGTGAACCCCAATATTCACAATCCCAATTCTTCCTCCTTCCCAACACTTTGGTGCACCCCAACTTTACCCTACCCAGTTTGCCTACAAACCCTGGCTCACACCCACACCTAACTCCTACCCAAACCCCGACTTCACCTCCGCTGGTTGCGTCATCCACATCCCAACATTCAGCTGGCCTGACAGTATTGCGCATCCCATCTCCAGACCGCAGGCAGACACCCACCTGGACTCTCGGCTCAGCCTCGAGTTCCCATTGCACCCCAACATTCAGCTGAGCCTTGGGCCTCGGTTCCCACCGAGGTTCACACCCACAGCCGGCCCACCCGCCGTGGAGCGCCCACTCTGCTCCTCCACCTGGGTCTTCCAAAGGCATCGCTTGTTGAGCCTTGTTGTGGGGGTCCCAAAACCTCTGCTATCAGAACCAGCTTTGCAGCGACCCTCATTTCTAAAGCGCTCCCTGGGGGCCCCCTCTGTGGCTGCCATCTGCTCCTTGTTCCGGCCCCAACTCATGCTGGGGCCCTCTCCCCTCTCCCAGCCTTGGAAGAAAAAGCTCGGGTTGACCCCTGCCTGCCCAGACCAAAGACCCAATCACAGCTCTGTCCCCAGAAAGTCTTCAAGGGCTTCCAAGTTGGGGGGAGTCCGGGGACAGAGACCCCGTTTTTGCAGCTGACTCCAGAGAAATCCCAGCCCTACTCCAGGCCTCAGACTCACTGGCAGCCTCAAGTGGGTCGAGCTGACCCAGCGAAGGGCGTGGGCAGGAACACTGTCTCCAGCGACAAGGTCTCTAGGACCCTTCATGGGCTCAAGGACCCCTCCCCCAGGCAGCTGTGTGACTCATGGCCACCCCCTCCGCACCTCATGCCCCCCCCACTCCCCGTCAGCAGCCGACTGCTGCGTCAGCCACTCACGCAGGGTGGTTATTAAAAGGAGTGGAGAGACAGCAGCGCCCAGCTCCCCGCCGCCCGCCGCCCCTGCGGGGAGGGGGCCACCCACCCCCTGGGGCCAGAACCACCCGGTCCCGCATTCCCAGCCCAGGAGCAGTCCAGGCCCACTCTTTCTGGCCTGTTCCTCAGCGGAGTCAGGGCGGGGGCGCTCCTTGCCCCCGAGAATCCCGGGGGGGGTCCCGTAGTCACAGCGGTCCCTGGATTAGTCTTGTCCCCCCATTGTTCCTTGGTTCTGAGTCTCTGCCTTTCCTGGTTTTGCAAAGTGCCCATGTTCATTCACTCATTCCGCCAGCACCCAGTTATTAGGCGTGTACTAGGAGCCTGTTCCTGTGCACCGGGCTCCGTGAGCGCCCACGGCCGCCCTGGGTCCCCAGGGTGGTGGGACCGACACACCTGCGGGTACCTGTGGCTGTGTACATCCGCACCCCGCCCTGTGCGCTGGTGTCTCAGGTGTGTACCTGTCCTCTCACCTGTGTCTCTGTGGTTACCCGCGTCTGCGTGTGCCTATGACTCCGCCTCTAGTCATGCCCCTGTGTCCCAGTGGGGGATTCAGGAGGCGGGACGCGGGACCCCAGCTGCGGCCGCTGCAGCTACGCGGGACCCGGGCTGGGCGCGCTGTCCCGCGCGGACGCGAGAGGGCGCTGCGGCCTCGCTCTGTCGCTGTGGCGGTGGCCCCCGGGTCAGGTCCCGTCCTCCGCTCGGCCGCCCGCTGCGGGGCCCCCCGTGGGAGAGGGGTTCCTCCTGCAACCTGCGGCCCTTGCCAGCCCCGCACGGCCACTGCACGGGACCCGGTTCCGCCGTGCGAGCACACAGCCGGCGTCTGGACCCCCGCGCCTCGCTCGCCGCCCACAGGCCGCCCCCGCGCCCTTGCTCCGGCGGCGGCGGGGGAGGAGGGGGCTCAAAATAGCCGCGCGGAGGCGAGGTTGCTATTCCCGGCGCGACGCGCGGCTCTGCCCCTGGCTGGCGGGGGTGCGGGTTCACCCTGAGCCTCGCGTCCCCGCGTCTCCCCGTCTCGGTGTCCCGCCGTCTCCGTCTCGGGCCCCGTGGGCTCATTCACAAATCCGCCCCCTCCCTGATGGCTGTCGCAGGGGGGGGGGGCCGTCTCCCACAGCCACGCCCCTCCCCCCACGCGGGGTCATCGCCGTGGAGACCGGGGCGGGGCCGCCTCGCTCCGCGCCGCCCACTCTGCTCTCCGCATGGGGCCGGGCCCGCCGGACGCCGGGTCCTCCCCCGACCACGGCTAATGACCAGGCGGGAGGCGGTAATGAGCGTCTGTGCCCGGGACAGGCGTGGCCGAGGATGAAAGGCGCGTGGGGGGGACCCTGGGGTTGCATAATTACCGCCCCCTCCCGGCCAGGCGGGGGCCAGGACGGTGCACCTGGCGGCCGCCCCGCGGGGGCGCACAAGTGGGACCTTCCGGGTCCAAACCCGCGGGGCCCAGCGCCAGGGTTGAGGCTGCAGAGCCTGCGCGCACTGCCAGGTGTGGTGCACGTGTGCGCCGGTAGGCGGGGGACCCGTGAGTACAGAGACGGAGGCGCGAGGATTACTAGAGACACATGCTTGTGTGGACAAGACCATGGCTCTGTGTGCGTGGGCACGCGGGCGTCGAGGGGTGCGCGGAGAACACGGGGGGGCGCGTTTCCGTGGCGCCGCGTGTACAACACAAGGGAGCTGATGCTCGGACTTCAAAGTGTGCATCATCCATCCGGACGGGAGCAGCCGGGGACAGGGCCGGGCGTGCGTGACTCGGGTGGGCTGGGACCCACAGAGCATATGTCCCTGTGCCTGGTGGTGTGATTCACATCCCTGGGGTGGGCACGCGAGCTGTGTGTCAGCGGCAGCCACGGCCTCCCAGGGAGGACCAATGTCACAGGAGGCCAAAGTCAAGTAACAGGAAGCCAGAAGCCCAGAGGAGGGATCCCAGCTCCCCACGAGACCGCAGGCACCTGAGAGCCAGCTGCACCCTGACCTCACTTTCCCTCCTGCTCCTAGGAGGGGGTCCCCATCCAAGACCCTGGAGGTCATGCAGGGTGGGTGGGGAGGGGGTCTCCTCCGGGCTGGGCCTCACCCCCTCCTCACAGGCCTGAGTCACAGCCCAGGAATGTGGAGGCTGCACAAGCCCTGTGTGCTCCTGCCCAGGCCAGGCCATCCCGGCAGCCTGAAGGCTAGGCCTGGGCCACAGAGGGACACTACAGCACTCATATCCTGTGACATGCCATGCACAGGTGCACACCCACCTCCACCTGCAGCATGTCCACCGGCCGCACACGAACTCACACAGACACGATGCACTCAGCATCCCGCAGCCCCTGCCAACTGCATGCACCTGTGGCACACAGGCTGTGGATGGGACCCAGAGAACACACACTGAGCAGTGGTGTCTGGGGGCCTGTGCCTGGGCAGGGGGCCTGTGCCTGGGCAGAGGGCCTAGGGGAGCCCCATGCCTTCCCCAGGGACCACACACTGGTTTGTTCTTTTGTTACTCACGACTCTGCAAAGAGACCTGACGGTAACCCTATCTACTGCACACAGATGGGCCAGCACTCACGGGGAGCACGCAGTGCCATGCACACGACACATATTAGGTGTCTGTGAAATGCCAGAGACCCTGCAAGGCCCTCAAAAGCCTTAAAGCTGGCCTAGGTGGCCTGCCTGTGTGGGGGGCAGGGATGCAGCCACTGGGTTTCTGAAACTGAGGAAGGGACCGGATCCAGAGTCCGAACCGCCAGGAGCAGGAGCAGCAGACCCTCACCTAGGCCCTGTCCACTCACTCAACCTCAGGGTCCCATGCCTGACCAAGGCCCCACATGCAGGGGTCACCCACATGCTGGTTTCCTGCAAACACAAGGAGTCACAGAGTGGCCCCTGCCTGGGGCTGGTAGTATCTCAGTGGCAACAGTGGAGTGGACAAGTGGAGAGGGTCCCCTCCTCCCCAGCAGCTGCAGGGTCTCAGGGCCTAATGGGTGCGAGCCCAGACACCTCTGCATGCGGCAGGTTCCACAAGCACCAGGCACCTGCCTGCCCCAGTGTGCCCGGAGGGCTCCCACATCCAAGCAGACACACATGTCCATGGAACACGTGTCCAGGCACCCAAAGCTGCTCAGTCACAGCTCACGATCCCTCCAGAGCCAGCAGCAGCCCAGGGGCCCAGCTGTGGGGGAGGGCAGTGCCCAGGCCCCTCTCTGTGACTGCTTGGCCTCATCTGGGAAGCTGGCAAGGCCATAGTACTTGGGATCAGTCGTGCACAGGGAGTGCCTAGGTCTTCTCTGTTCTCTTCTTGGTGTCACAGTTCACACAGAATTGTCCCTTAGGCTCACTCCCCCACTGCATGTGTATTTCCAACATTAACTAAAAGGCCTTTGGTTGGAGCAGGTTAGGAAACACCAGTGAACACACGACCCCTCCCCCACCCAGACCAGCAGACTAGGGGCCCCTGGGATGGCTGGAGGTCTCAAGAGTATTCCCAAATCCCTGCCCCCAGTGTGTGTGTCTGGGGGTGGTGGCCCAGGGTTTGTGGAAGTCCTGTTTGTTCTGTGCAT